AGTATTTAAAATAGTATTAGCAATATCATGACTATTTAATTCTATAAATATAAATATATAGAATAAAAATAAACAAATTTTGATCGAATTTTATTTTGTGATTGTTGCAATTTTGCTAATCTAAATATAAACAATCACAATATTGCCTGTAGAGTGTCTAGACTTCTACGATTTTAGAATTCATTGTTTCAACAATGTTAAATTTCTAAAATTGCGTAAGATAAAAAATCAATAATAATACAATGCAATATAAATCATGAGAAGTTATATAAAGCATTTTGCCTTCTTTTTCTCATCTATAAATTCACTTGTAATCAGATAAATATTTATCTTAAATCATGTCTACAACACTCTATTTGATTACTAATTTCTCTGCTAAATCTTTTTCTGAAAATATTCAAAATTCTCTTCAGACAGCTATAAGTTCTAATAATATTACAAATTATATCAAACTTAATTATACTGAAGGTTTTACTAATTCAAATCCTAAAAATTCTAATAAATATAATTATAAATATTTTGCTAAAAGCAATTGCAGAAAGAAACAATGCTTAAGATTTGGACAAAAGCTTGACCCAGTTTATAAATATATTAATGAACTAAGTGATGAGCTTAGTGATAAAGCCTTTAAAGTTTGCAAAATATGCAATAATAAGTGGGCTGAAGAAACATCAATTTCAACTATAAAAAGTCACTTTAAAAGCAAATATCCACTTATCTTTAAAGATCTTCAACAAAACTCTTTAAGCACTTGACCTTCTTTTTACTCAACTATTATACCTACTAAAAAAAAAAGTGTTGAGTCTTTAAATAATAATCTATTAAAATAGATTATTATTAAACAACAACTGTTTTCAACAGTTGAAGCAAACTCATTTATCAAATTGGTTAATAATCTTAATTCACATTATAAGTTACCTTGTTGTCAAACACTTTCTACAAATATAAAACTTTATTTTAATATAGCAAGATTAAGAGTAAAAGAAATTTTAAAGGCAAATAAAAGTAAATTTGTACTTACTCTTAATGTTTGAACTGCATGTAATCAACAAACTTTTCTTGGTATTACCATTTACTGGATTAATAATGAATAAATGTTAAAAACCTTACTACTTGACTTTATTCTATTACATAATACCCATACTAGAGAATACCTTGGTGGAAATGTTCTTGAACTTCTTAATAGTTTTGAAATAAATAATAAAGTAATTGGTTTTACTAATAACAATACATCAAATAATGCAATATGTTTAAGCTATCTTAAAAGATTTATAAGCCCCAACTTTATATACATTTATTGCATGGCACATGTCATTAATCTTGTAGTTAGAGAAGATAAAAAAAAATATAATAATCAAATCACCATTTTTGCAATAAGTTAAAAAAATTACCCTTACTTTTAGGTAAAATAGAGTGAATTTCTGCTATCCTAAATTGACAATTTCTCTATTCAGAAATAGACATTGACACAAGGTGGAACTCTACCTACTTAATACTTAAATGGCTTGTTGAAATTAAACCTGTTACTAATAGTCTTGTTCAATAATATCTAAAAAGATGATTATCTAGAAATAATAATTAGAATATGATAAATGAAATAATCAAATTTTTTGAACCTTTTTATACAGCAACTATAGTATTGTCAAATGCTTCACAACCTCTCAAGGATCTATGCGAATAATTATTCAAGGTCTCTTCTCGTATCTCAATCATTATATTATGCTTGATACACATTGAGATATGATTAAAAAAATAAAAGATAATTATATGAATATTAGGCTTATCTTTCTCAATATTTAGGTATTTCTGCTCTTCTTGACTTCTCAAACAAATTTGAAGCTTTTTATAAAACTGATCATAAGCTGTCTATTAACAAGTTAAAAGAAATTTATTCATTATATAGTTCTAATAATTTAGTATTAAATAATTTAAAAACTGGGTTAGGATCCCATAGCCTAGTGGTCTAGACTCCTAACCCTCCACAGATGAGGTTAATGGTTCGATTATAGCTAGTAGTAATTAATTTAATTAATTATCTCTGTAATCTACAGGAGCTTTCGAATGCAAAACCCTGTGATGATAAGACCATGTGAAGTACATATTTGGCCTATAAAGAATTCTTGGAAGGAGTCCTGAGCCGTAGAGAAGATTGGGCACTATGTGTGACATGGTGTCACAAAAGTAATACCGCATAAGGCTGTGCATTTAAATCCTCGATTGGCTAGATAGCACCAACAACCCTAAGGCGGTCTTGGGGATCTTGATTGGGAGGATGACTAAATGCAGTATATCTGGAAGTGGTGAGAGAAGTAGTGAATATCGTAAGGGGCTGTGGTAAGAGGATGGCTTTACCAAATAAAGGAACACCTCTGGCATACAAGATTGGAAATTGGAAAAC